CTTGTAAGAAAATAATTACAGCATGGTTGTTTAGGTAGTCTCATGTAATATTCAATTTGAGGTTTGTCATAGCTGAGCATAATAGCAGTGATGTTTGTGTTCTTTAAGCTCTTCTGACTCAATATGAAAACAGGGGACAGAACAGGGTAATATCATTCATAGACTACTTTTGAGTTTTTATTTGTTTGGTTTGTTGTTATATACAGTTTTGTTAAAAGAAATATGAGTGACCGACTCGCCTAACCCGTCTTACAGCTGGATTTGTGTCGCTTTATTAATTATTATGGTCAAGGTTAAGTGTCTGCTACCTAGTGCTTTTAATACTATTTGTGACAAGGATGAGCAAGAAAGGGGCAACTAATTATGTACTATAACGATTAGACAATCATATTTTTTCAATATATGTGTATACTTTCAAACTAAAATGTTGTACTCTAAGCTCTTTTTAAAAAAAGTACCACATTTTATAGAATGACTACACATTTTTGTTCGAAAAGTAAGATGAGCTGACTATTAGGTTGACACATACAGGAATTTGATTGTCTTTTATGCAAATAACAAACACGGGTTTTTTTGGGGAAATTCGAAAACGTAAAATCTGAATTCGATTTCAGTTGCAAGGATGGTACAACAGATTACAGAGAGATGAAGTGGTGGCCCAATGGAAAAAGATCAAAGGAAAGATGTCTCTTCATGTCCATTGTCACATTAGTGGTGGCCACTTCCTATTGGACCTCTGTGCAAGGCTTCGATACTTCATCTTCTGCAAAGAACTTCCCGTGGTAAAATACCACTATACCTCAACTCTCGTTTATTTCCGAGCGTCTCAACATTTTCCTAAACTTACATTTAGTATTGTTAACTTTTTTTTTCTTAATTTCCAGTTTCATTTGTATCATGATTGCAATAATGCATAAAAATGTTTATCATTAGGTGCTGAAAGCGTTTGCCTATGCTGACGAGGACCTGTTGAACAGTTACCCAGAATTGCTAGATGCCTTGGTTTGGGTTTATTTTCACTCCAACTTGCGGGAATTCAACAAGATCGAGTGCTGGGGCCCACTCAAGGAAGCTTCGGGCTCGTCCATCTCTTGCTTTCCTCTGGGAAGTGATCACAATCAGAATGAAGCAATCAAATTGGAGACTCCGCAGCCATGTCTTGAGGCCTGCTCTTGCTGTTTTCCGACTGAGCAGCTGATCAATACCTGAACGGCCTCAAAAAGCCAGCCACACGATGTTGGTTTTTAATTTTTAGGGATATTTCGAAGTTTGTTTATGGTAATTATTTATATTTGAAAGTTTTAATCCATTATGATAGGCGAAAATGGTTTGTTTACATGTACATAAAAAAAAAAATTATGGGATTTAAAGTGTGTGGATTGGTGAAAATGTGTTGTAAGATTAGTCAAGGCTTGTTAATTGGGAAGATTTAAGTTGGTGTGTACATGAGAAATTTGGAAGATGTTTGGTATGGTTAATTTGTCTGTTTATATTATGTCCAGTTGTTCATATTTGGTGGGGGCTTGTCTCAGCTAAACGTTTTCCAGACATTTTAAGTATACAGTATGAGTTTAATGGTCCCGTTCTTGGCGTTTTTGTGTGCATCACATTGTGAGAAATGTGCATTGAGTAGTTGAATGAATGACAAGTGCGGTGGTCCATTTAGCTAAGGAAAGTTGTTAATAGTTGAGAGAAAATTTTGTATGAGTTGGCCTCATTAATAAACGTGCTTACTAAATAATTGCGTTTAATAGTAGGCAAAATGCCCAAAAAATGACACCTCGAAAAGATGGTGTCATTTTTAACCTCTCACAGCAATAAGAGCAAAAACACACATTTAAGGCCACATCAACATTCTGTTCAGAAAAATTGTTTTAGTCTGACTGATATATTTCCTTTAAATACTTCGTATTTCAAACAATCTGAATATTTTACCTTTTAATATTTTGTTATCATTTCAAACTTTTAGTAGTTCATTAGTCAGATTCTTATTAGTCATACAGTAAAAATGGCGACGACCATACATTTTTCAATAGATATATATTTTAAAATTGAAACATCGTATTACAAAAAATAATATAAAAGAAAAGTATGAGATTTCAAAGTTTTACCATCTCCAGTTGTTCCTATTTGCTTGGCTTCATCTCAGCTAAACGTTTTTCTGGTACTTTAGGTATGCACAATGAGTTGATGGTCCCGTTCTTGGCGTTTTTGCCCGCATCATTGTTGAAGGCATGACAACTATTCTGATGATACAATTACCTAAAGAAAACTTATTAGTTGAGTTACAAATTCTTGTATTTGGCGGCTTCAATGTTATACAAGTAATTTGTCTTT